CAGCAGAGCAGAGCAGCAGGGGTCAAAGGTCAACCTATTCAAAGTCAAACAAAGATCCTTCGTTAGCAGTTTCTATTTACACAGAGAGACCATTCATTTACATACAACAGAACTGCTCTTGGATGGGTTGATGATGAATGACTGATGACTTCATAGCACAACCTATGAGCTTGTTGAAGTTCTATTGAGAGTTCAGCGGTTAGTCTGAAGTCGTTCTAAAGCTGGTTTCACGCTCACATGCAGCCATCAATCATCCAGGAGGCTTTTCATTTCCTCTCACTGCTTTGCCACATTCCACTTTCCATTGAGGCCCACAGTTCAACATCAAGAGGATCTTACAGCACCAGTCAAACCTGTATTTTTAATTGTTATACATTTTTGGACCAGTCTGCTGGTAAAAAGCGTCTGTAACCCGACATCTCCCGAGTAGACACGTTTTTGTGTGTAATTGGACGAGGTTCAAGGTTTCATTTAAGGTTCTAAGACGTCCTGTAGCCTGTAATTATAGCGTGGCAGGGCTGGATTATTACATATTATTATTATGTAACTGTATATTATATGGAATATGTCGTAATATTGAATGCATGCAGGGAAATCAGGGCCATTAATGGCTGTGAGTTGGTTGTTTCAACACTGTGGTCCAGAGTAAAACATCTTATCAAGTATAAGATGGGTTGACATTTAATTTGGTTCATAAATCCGTGGTGGCTCTGGAGATCCTCCGATTTTTCTTTTAACACCACCTGCAGGTCAAAGGTTGACTTTGTCCAATATTCAAATACTCGCAAAACTAACATTCATCTTCAGCCGCACTGTGTTTTTGTTCTCGTCAGCGTAATTGATTATAGATGAAAGCAATGAATGTGCTCCATCATGTGTTAACGGGCGGTACCTCCCTTCTTTCCAACCCTCCCAGTAATCTCTCTCTGTTATCCCTCCTTCCTCTCATGGAGAAGTTACTCATTCCCCTCTGTGCCCTGCAGACTCTGTCTCCTCCCCTCGCACTTGCCTCTCGTTGCCGGTTCCTCCACAATCTCACTCTGCCTGAACTTAGCGGCTGTGTGGCACTCTGTAACTAAAGCTATGGAAGCCATGGGCCTGAATCTAGCCTAAAGGAGAGCTTCAGTTCCTGCTCTCCTTTTATTTACTCTTTTCTTTTTACTTCTCTGTTTTTTGGGGAACAGAGAAGGATTTTGATTCAGTGTTTTTTGCAGGTGACGGAGCACGATGGCCACCCCATCACTTCTCCTGTACATTGACAGGTAGGACGCCAGCAGATGACGTGACATGTTTGGTTGACACTTCTTAACCACTGTGGCCAGCAGTAGTTTCATTTCTCTGTGTTTTGTAAGCAAGCAGCAGAGCTTTGATCAGCAGTTGTATAATGTGGCTTTTGTGCTGGAACACTGTTGTAAAAGAAGAGCTTGGAGCAGCTCCCCCTCCTGCTCACTGGGGTCCTTCCTGACGGGAAGAACTCAATGTACTTCTCTTCTTCTTGTACTAGCTTGTTTGGTATTTCCACGCCAGGTCTCCTGAGCGCAAGTGTTGTGAAATCCTTCAGAATACTCGGGAGACTTGACCACAAACCCGTGCAGTGCAAAGCCTCGGCTAGTGTTCAACGCACAAGCGAGCAGCCGTTCCACTCGAGCACTCGGCCGTGTCAGCCCTCACGTCGGGGCCCACCCGGCCCCGGGCTGAATGCAAATCATTCTCCTGCTTTGTGAGCGCTCGTTCGGTGGCACACACGACAGCCAACGAGCTGTGAAGAAAAATGTTCCGTATTAAAGTGTTGAATGTAGAGACTTAAAGTCAGGTTTTAATCTGTAAAGGTGGCACTCAGTTGACCTCTGCTCTTTGAGTTATGCAGTGTTGTTTTTTACGGTGGCTCACGGGGGTCACTCAAGTTCACCGGTCCCCATAGTTTAAGTCTGGTCACACCTCAGCTAAGCCCGATGTGTTGATGATATGAAGTTTTTATTAAGAGTCAGAAATGAATCCATTAGTGTTTATGTCTTATAATCACACATTTTAGTTGCACTGTTCATGATTAATTCACTCGTTGAGCTTGACAGTTTGTTGACCTTGGCAATAGTAGTTCAACAGTGTTTAACGGTCTTCTTCAGCATATGGAGTTTGCTCAGTTGTCATCACACGTATCAAACTTTAGTCACGTTATAAAATGTGGTAACAAGAGCACGAGTCATGAACGTGTCTAAACGCTGATGAAGATCAGGAGAAGTGGAGTTGAACACTCGGATGAAAGCTAGTAAGCGGACCTTGAGTTACGTTTTTTTTTCTTTGTCAATTTACTAGTTATTGGTCAAACTCTCACATCAGATTTTCGATGTTTTTCGTTCCCCCTTTGCTTCTGTGTGGACTGACAGCTGCTGTTTCCTGCCTTTTGTATTTCCTCCAGGAGGAGTTAGGTGACTGTGATCACAGCAGACATCCCCGCGTTAACGTGACCGCTTCCCTTAACGGCTCTTTGTAAGATGTTGCTCCACGAGCGTCTGATGCCTCATGCCTTCCAGCAAGGGGAAATCCTTGCAGAGCTGGCGGTTGCTTGTGTTCTGGTTTTCCAATGTGCACTGTAAGAAGAACATAATTCACTGTGCTGGCCTTTTTAATATCTGCGCTGTCATTCGAGTCCTTCATTAAAGCCACAAGTCACCCACACGATGAGGAAATACTTTCCGCTGCTCGCAATATCCTTGTGTACCACAGTCTCAGTAAGCAGAAGTGCAGAGATGCGAGACTGATGCAAAACGTACAAAGAGGGAGGCGTTGTCACTGGAAGGTAAATAAGGTTAAAGGTGCCGTGCTGGCTCACGCAGCCCAACACAAAGGTATGATGTGGAACTGTGGCGAGGTTCTCATATGGTGCCAGTGGTGGTTCTCCAGATAAACGGGGTGCAAACCCACATACACACGGACGGTTAGATTCTAATAAAGAAAATAAAAATGAAGCAACTCTGTAAGCCTAAAGGAAGCAGTAGCTGCTGCTGAGCTTCACTGTTGATCAATGAACGTTGTACAACACAGGCAACTTTATGTTTACAGCAAGGTCAAACACCCTAGAGGCAGTGTTGCACATTTAGATACGCTTCAGGATTAACAGATGAATGTGATTGTGTTCCACACATTGTCTCGTAAACTCTGCAGCACATACTGTTACGAGCACGGCCATGATATATAAATACAAGGGTTATGTTGCAAGTCCCACCTCTCTCGCTCCTTGCATTTCCTGTTCATTTTAAACCATGTTATGTAATGGTTTTACCTCAAATCATGTGCACCCAAAGTATCTTCAAAATAAGAAAGTTTGAATTTGAACTTCAGTTTAGTTTTTCCTCCCAACCTAGATTAAATTTGATTATTTTTCAAACTCTAATCTTTAAACTCACCTTTAAAATGTGATCTGGTATTCATTTTAAACTTAAAGGTAACGTGTTTTTTTACTTTTTTTACTGTGATTTCTTTCTTCTTTTTTTTTCGTTACTGTGCTTTTGGCATTTTCTTTTATCTTCTTTTTATTATTTGACCATATTTCTCCATTAATTCTGCCAACAAGTTCTTCTCAAAGACTGAGCCATGAGTAACTGACTTTTAGCTAGCTAGCTAACAATGTAATGTTTAATTAAGGAATACAGAGCAGTCGAAAGTTAGGCATGCAGATGTATTTATTTGTTTAATAAAAGTATTTTTTATTTAAATTTGGTCAAGTAATCTTAGGTTAGATTATTCTTAACCGATCCCAGCCAAAGTGTCATATTTAGTCATATTTATCTGGAGTATTTTTGACAATTTCACTTCCACAAAATCTGATCGCTTCAGTCCTGACTCTTAAGTTATAATAAGAAACAAATGTATCCTCAGCATAGTTCACCATTACGTTTATGGTTATCATCAGCTTTCAACAAGTCATGAGTGAGCACAGCAGGAGGCCGCATGTCTCGAGGAAACGTCCCCTAAGCAAACACAGAAGCCTGCAGCAGACACAGCCAGCTATCGGCCAATGACGCCTCCGGCCTGCAGCTGTGTCCGCTCGGTGCTTCCTGTCCTGGACGGACTGTGAGGAAGTCAGAGGGCAGGAGGTCAGATTGGTCCAACTGAGACAACTTGTGTAGTCGGATCTCTTTTCTGCCTCTCAAGGTCCACTGAGTTAGAGCCAAGTGGTGTCAACGCAACTTGTTTAATGTTGCATATAGCAACTATTCCCCCATTGATTGATGGGTCAGAATCATTACATAAAGCCAAATGTGAATGTCCTCTAGATGAGATGCAACCTGGACAAAAAGCAGGATGTGGACCTGGTCAGAATAAGCACAAATGTTTTCACAGCTGGGCTCCATTCAGGCTTTTACTGAAAGCCTCTGCTAACAGCTCAGTGACAACAGCGCACTGATGGATGAGTGAAAGGAATAGCTGGCTATATGATGCAGTGAAAGAAGGATTTTCACCGTATTCAAACAGAGTGGATGGAAGAGCAGACGGTCAAGTGGTTATTTGAAGTGGGAAGATTGTATTCCTCAATAAAAGCAGCTAAGAAGCCTTTTTATACATCACACATCGCAGGTTGATTATTGCCACTGTGTCATGCGTTAAACGTCTAGTTTTATTAGTCCTCTGCCAGTTCACATGATGTCACATAGGTGGTTAAAATGCTCTCTGGGTGCTCGGTGCGCTTTCACTCTTATATCCATAGATTTGCTTTTGCGAGCTGATCTCAGCAGTGAGTTCCTGCAGCTCTCTGGGGGCCCACACGGAAGACTGCAGTCATAGCTCTGCGTTCTACATTTTGCTCTCGTGCTATACTGACTTAAGTTGTTCCTCCAATCTAATTCCCGTCCCCTCTCCGTTGGTCTCTCAGGAGCCTGTTTGCCAGGAGGGTGAAGGACAGTCGGCCGGTGGAGCAGAGGGATCCAGGGTGGAAGCTGTTTGGGAAGATCCCGCCACGGGACGGCCCCGCTAAGGACCCGAAGAGAATACAGAAGGTAGAATCTTTAAAATTCAGGGGTTTCAATTCAGGGATCACAGACGGACATTGTGTTCGTGGTGACTATTTCCTGTTTGGGAGAGACCAACATATTCTGATCTCAGATCTCACCAGAAACTTTCATTCTTTCTGGTGTTTCCTCCCAGTCTCTCTCCTGTTGTCCTTTAGTCTCTGTAAGTTTTACGAAGCAGTTGCATGTGATTGAAAGGACTTTGTGTGAATTTGCTCCCCTACAGTCAAATTCATTGGCTTTGTGTGCAAATTCACTCTATGTTCCGTCTGAACACAGTAAAGCTGCATTGATCTCTTCCACACATTTCCATATGAGGGCTTGTCTGTTATTTGTTGAAGCACTTCTATGGTTTGACCCCAGTATTCAGAATTTCCCACAAAATACAGTAACGTGTCCACTGACAACACCTCGCTCCCTTAAGCACACTGTCTTATTGTTCACACAGCTGCTCCGCTCAGCGGCGTTTTGGGTTCTATCCTCGAGTAGATATTAGTCACATGAACCAACAATAGGCTTGTTTGTTTTTCACAGACTATTCGTTTGGTTGTCTGTGTATTCGGAGAACATGTCTGTCCTGACTGATGGAGCACAGGTGTCTCTTCTAGGCAGCTCATCTCTGACTGTGGTACAAAACCGGTGTATTAGAGACTGGAAGAGAATCCAACAATACTTTTTTCCCTTTCATTAGCTTCCTCATCTATAAGAAGCACTTTAAAATTCGACTTAATCGCCTTTTTGAAAAGCGAGTTATTTTCTGATCACGTGTCTACTGTTTCCACGCTGTAGGCCAGCTGTCCCTGAAGACAAGTCCTCCACGTGCATCATATTCATTTGGTTTATTTGGTCTTCTTAGCTGTGGTTTATGGTGCTGCGGTTGCTCAGGGTTTCAATTTTAAATTTTAGCCACCTGCGCTATGTTGAGAAACTGTCAGACAGCATCTCAAAGAGCTACGTTAGCTCTGTAATGCAGGCTTCAAGTTGAATGGACTGCTTTTGGATAGCGCAGTTGTCTTCATTAGCTTTCATTAGCTTTCTTTACACTGAAGCTTCAGACTTGTTTGGCCGGTTTATTTTTAGTTTTTAATTGGTTTTAATGTCGGTGCTGGAAAGTATCCAAATGCATGTCTGAAGTGTTACATTTGACTTCCTCTAACCCCAAATATTGAATGTATTAGATGGATATTTAATTGTATTAATTTAAAGTGTAGTTGACTTTAACATTATATAACTCATTTAAACGGTGAAGCTGTTGTTTGAAGGTGAAATGAATGAGCAACTAGCTTTTGATGCAATAACACCTTTTAGCAGAGCTCATCACTACCATGGACAATAAAGACCAGTAAGCATTATAAACCAACGTTATGACTCGTGATTACATACCAGCTGAAGGCTCAGACTTTATAGAGGTCAACAATATCAGGAACTAACTGAGAACAGTGTCAGTGGTAGCTCCTGATACCAGGAGCACAATGCCCTGAGCAACAACACTCCCATCAGTGACATTTACGTTCTTCAGCTATTTTTAGAACGGCGCATGCTGGAAAGAAACGACCTCTCTCAGTTCTTAGAAACATAATGGAAAGGACACGACTGAATGTTTATTAAACCACAATGGATCTTTGGAAGAAGGGTAATTTACAATAAACATGTAAACCATTCGGATAGCGAGTAGCAACGCTACACGCAGTGTTGCTACTAGTTTAACTACATTACCCAGGAGTGTATGGCACCATAGATATTTACAAAGTCATGGAGCTGTCTACATGTAGCCATTCTCATAATCTTGCAACTAGCTACATTTCCAGGAGCTAGCTGTAGAGTGCTGCAGGGATGACGTGTTTTTGTAGTTAGCACGGAAGTTAGCATCACACTGGTTCCCTTTATAAAAAGCCAATGGGATTTTTCCTTTGGATTATTGCAGAATATAAACTCTATGGCAAACAAGCAACTTTGATATTTACATGCTTTGAGATAATCTTCAGAAAATAAACACCACTTTTATGTTTTTTCAAAGTGTGAATGCAACCGACAGGAGTAAAAAGCTAATGAAAATGCAAGAATACTGACTCATTTCTGTGTTTTTAGGACTCATTTCTGCAGCACTCTATTTTGTCCATTATTTGTTTGTTTTTGTGAATCACTTTAGTGTAGTAAGCTACTTTTTCTGAATTCAATGTTTCAACTGATAAGCTTCCTACTTTCAACAAAAGTGTCATTTTGCTGTAGCTTGGCTCCTTCCAATGACGATTAGCTTGTAGCTCCACTAGCTACTGTAAAGTAGCTTCCCCAGCACTTGAAAGCATCTTGAAATCGTCTCAAGCTAATGTTATTCAAAAACTAAATAATGAATTGACATAGAGCATAAAACAGCCAAAATACAATGAAAATATCCAAGTATAAATGTTGTACGAGCTAAAGCATAAATTACTCATAGATTTCTTTGTAAACATGCGATTGATGAGATTCCTACTACTCGCTCTCTTAGTGTGGCAGAAACGTGCCACGTGCATGTAGTGTTCGTGCTGCTCAGCGAGCTGAAATTCAAAATGTCAAGGTCTTTGAGAGCACTTTGTTAGATAGCCTGCTGGTGACTGAACACTCGCATAATTTCCCACTGCCATTCAAAAAGCCATTGGAGGACGTGTCTCAGGGCCAATTAAAGAGCACAGCATCCACCTCCTGGTGAAGCACAGCAAAGAACATGATGGCAGCCTGTAATTAGAGCCTGCCTGTCCTTGTGCTTCCATTTACCCTCTGCTCTTTGTGCTGCTGAAGCCTGGTTGAAAGGCCTGTTAACGTGCTGTTCCTACAGTTTACATATCAGTCCTTTTTAAATATGTCACACGCTGGCTTTAACTCGCTTATGTACACTTGACATGCTGTCTGACTCATGCACACAGCCACATGTGCTTTATATCTGTAGTCCATCTCATCTGTGGTTGTAACCTTATATTAACCCTCAGGGATCCCATAACAATGCCAGGTTTTTAAGCTTTTGTCTTGACTCTGTGTGTGTGTGTGTGTGTGTGTGTGTGTGTGTGTGTGTGTGTGTGTGTGTGTAATGCTTTATTTGCCATGGTTATTGTTCAGCTGCTACGAGACACACTGTGCTATCTCCACCAGCAACACTTCCCCTTTGAGAACACTGTAAATCAAGTTTAACATTCTAATTGACACCACTTCAGTCTGGGGATCTCAATATATCTGGAGGCCTCGGTACAATGTCTGGTCACTGCTGAAGAAAGTAATTGTTCTGTTACCTGCTGAGCCTCTGCTCTAAATCACACTGTGTTGCAGCCCGGGCATGTCTGAGTTACTGCCCCTGGGAGGGGGGACAATATTCCCAGCAGGGTTTTTCATTTTAATATTAAGTAATTTAAACCGCTTTTAGACATGAATAAATGAGGGATCTTGATAGCAATACTGAAGCTCCTGATAGCTAATATTTTTTGCTGATATATTAACTATTTTGATGGCATGAAGGGTTTTATGTGTTCTAGTTTTTTCTTGTTCTGGTCAAGATGGAAACGTTTCTGAAGCAGCAATTAGACCATTGTGGTCATTGTGATGACAATAATTGAACAATGAAATCTGATCAACATCTAGAATAGAAGTCTGGATCAATTTTGCTGTAAATCAAGCAAATGTCATCTCTATACCAGAGGTCATATTTACCATGTACAGATGGGTGAGACATGAAAGGGAAAACCAGCATCTCAGTGAGGCTTTGGCATAGACTGCGGTTTGGTGACTGTTGTGGTCGTAGCATATGAATTCCTTTGTATGAAAGCATCTGCTATTATGTTTTCCATTAATTTATCTGGGTCTTACTGCTGGGAAGTGCTGAAAAAAATGTGATATTACATTAAATAATTTAGAGCATAAAGTCCTTGCTGGTTTTTCCATTAGTATATCCAGCATCAAAAGTGAACTGCAGTCAATGAGCCGTGACCTTTTAAAGGCTTGCTGCTGATGACACGCTCAAGTCTGCAGAGCCCTGGAGCTCCACCCCCACTGCTCCATGAAGCGCTGTCCGCTTGTTCATTCAAAGTTTATTAATACTGAACGTGTCGTGTGTCCAAATTGCACCAAATTTGACAGATCACTCCACGGGGTCCTCGGCAATACACCCACCAAGTGTGAAGTAAATCAGATTAGCAGTTCTCGAGATATGCCAAGGACACACAGACAGGCGAACCCTGAATGGATGTGGTGGATATGGATATGATCGCTATCAATGTTGGCTGGCCTGGCTCAGGTTAAATCCTTTGTAAAACATGAACAAATGAATACAGTGAATGAATGCCATAGAACTTATCTTTTATTATCTAGTTTGGCAATGTTTTACACTGGGAAATCTGTCAAACTAATGACATTTTGCTAGTTCTGGCTAACGCTACACTTCTCCCTAGCGCCTGCCCGATCGGCACTGGGCGTGTGCAACAGAAGCGAGATGCCTTGCTCGTTGGGTACTTCCGTCATCGATTCCGGATGCAGCAATCCGGAGCTGATGATGGACGCAACGAGTGAGGCGTCTCACTTCTTTCTAATCTCTGTTGACAGTTGATCATGTGCAGCAGGCAGCCTCCCTTGTAGCCTAAATAAGCTAATACATGATATGATAACATGATATTGGATTAGGAGCATAGATCACTGATACCCAATCCAGCATTTTATATCGCTGTTTAGCAGGCATTTCTGATACTGTTATGGGAACAACTCTACTGATGGCAGAGGCTGCCATACAAAGTGCTAAACTGCTCAAACCTGATCTAATCATCTGCACACTCAAACTATGACATAGGACTGGGGGATCGAACCTCTTATCTTCCATTAGTGGATGAACCACTATATCTCCTGAGCCCTGTGAACCCTGTAACTGTTTATGGATAGAATAACTAAACATAACTGGGGTTGACATCACAGAATACTGAGACCAGTTCTGAATACTTATGAGTAAATAAAAACATGTACATCTCCTACAAAACAATTTATTTCCGTGATGTGAGGCAACCATTAGTGTTAACCATCCAATAAGGCAGAAACGTGAGGACACATCCTCCCAGAGCACAAGCTTTGTAACTCTGTTGTATCAGCACCTTGGAGGATGAGCGTCTGGAACCCGGTCTTTTACTCTGGGTTTGATTAGAGCGGCTGCCAGGACACGGTAGAGCGCAGAGCTCCTCTTGGTGAAGCGATGGTGACTAACAACACACGACGGTGCTGATTTGCTGACATACACACGCAGCAGCATCAGCAGCAATAGATCTGATGCAGAGCCGCTCATTGTAGCGTCACAGCTCAGAGAGAGAGGAAGACGGGGGTATCATGCTGCTGCTGCATCGTTTCCAATGCGGGGTGTGTCCCTCCGTTGGCAGCTTAACTGTCCCTCTGCCCTCATTTTTGATCTCCTCCTCCTGGGTGTCTCGTTGCCAGGAGTGAGCCACCCCCCTCCCCTCTCCAGGAGCAGCAATGATGCTGGGCTAAGGTTTTTGTAAAAGGAACCCCCACCGGAGGACTGTCCGTCTGTAAGGAACAGCAGCGTTCATGGTGAGTGAGCTCTTGCGCCGCGAGGACAAGTGGACGAGCTGGGCGACCCACCGCGTCTCTCTCTCTCTCCTTGTCTGGCAGAATCAGAGGGCATTGGCAGTCGGAGCGTGAAAGGGACGGTTCGGGTTTCACATAACAGCCTCCGTGGCTCTGATGCTCCGTGGTGGGGAGCGGGCTGATGATTAGTCGGGGATTTCTCTAGAATGACGAACACGTTTAAGTTTCCCGAATGTGTGGACGGACGCGATGTCCGCACTGGAGACGACCCATCTTTATTGCACGTAACTCGACGTAATAGCCCTCAGCTTAGTACAACAAATGCACGTGCAACAGCATCCTTTAAAAAAACAAAATAAATTGAGGTGTCAAGGGATTTCATCCTGCTGTTATCACTGATGCAGTTAAAGAGACACGGGGCTCAGTTGACAGCAGAATCAGCGGGACTCCGTTTATTTCCGCTTTCCAGTAAAGCATGCTTATATTAAACAACAAAAAAAAGCTCTTGGATTGTGTCTGAGCGTTTGTTGCCAGTGCTCATGGTGCCATCTGTTTGCCTGGATATTGTACCAGATCATCATGGCCTTACTGACAGACTACTCAGCTCCCCTGTGGTAACTGTAATTCAGCTGTTGGTGTGCCAACCAAAATACTTCTGCTAATTAAATTGTTCATTCATTAGTTATTGTATCGCCTCTTAAATAGGTGTCATTTGCAGTTTTCTGTCACTCTGAATAACCAGATATGATAACATCTGTGCACAGTCTACATTAAATAGATTTGGTTGAGATTTATTCCTCAAACGATACTGTATGTGAAGCAAAATAAAGGATGCTGCGCTTGTTGATCAATCCTGAAACTTCACCAGAGGTTTAGGTGTAAAATCACACAATGTGACGCTTGCTGTGACCCTCATTTACAAGCCCACCAGTACGTTTGTCAATGCTGGTATATGAATAACTTTTTTAAAATGTAATTATCTGTGCAACACAATCGGAATTTGAGTAACTGCTCTGATTAACCTGTCCTGCAGCAGATGCCAAACAAACCCACCTAGCTGCTGCCAACAACGCAGATGCCGTTTGTCTCATTCACACGTTGTCCTGCGCTTGATGGGCTTTGGAAAATACTTTGGCACACAGTGAAACCAGGCCAAGCGCCCTGCTGTGGCCTTTCATCTCGCAGCTTGCATAGAGCAAGCCAGAGGTGCTTTCATGAGGATATGATGCATAGGTGCCAATCCAAGACGGCTTCACCATCACTTGTAACAGCCGTCAAGCCCACATTGCTCCTTTTTTGCACATAGAAGGAACTTGCATATCATAGCATGCACAACATAATTGTGTAAGACTTTGTAGGGCCACATGGTGTGAGGCTACTTGCAGACAAACAGAAAACAACTCGACGTGCTCGTCAGAGTGCCGCTTCCTAGTGTATATAGTTTTAAAGGCCATTAGCAGCCGGCATGACAGCCAGTCAGTGCAGCCAGAGAGCTCTTCCAACACTACCAGGAAATTGGAGAACTACAAAGCCGGTTGCCCTGGTGGCAGGTTATCATGGGATACAGTTGCTATTCCAGCAGCTGAAAGCTGAAAGAGTAAAGTTCCATCCTAGAAGTGATGAGATAGGAGGGCTTTCTCAACATTGTTGAGGAATAGATACGTTTTTTTTCATGTCATCCTTTTAGGGAAAGCCTCGGGGTCTGTCACAGGGATGCATTGTGATACACACTTGTTTATGGAAAGTAAACAATAAGCTGAGCTTCACTATATGTGTGAATCAGAATGCTAGTTTGAAGCTATGTAGCCCAATGGTTACTCTGTTGAATCTATTAATGCATTCATTCTGTCAGATTTATCTGTTTGCTGCTCAACTAGAGGGGGAATCCCACTGATTTTACACACTAAAGTCTGTTTGCAGGTGTTGGGGAGTACTAATGCACATGTGGAAAAAGTTATATAAAGCCTTTTGTGTTTGTAGCTCCAGAGGGAGCCGTGTGAAGTCTGATTAAAGCGCTGATTCACCTGTAGGACTGGTTGTTGAGTGGCAGAGGAATGTGCTGTAACGTTAAGCCTTTACATGCTTCTGTACCGTCAGTCCATTGTTATTGTTTCAGCTAATCATTTATCTGGTTTCTCACCCTGACATACTTTTACACCACTCACTTTACTTTTATCACTGCACTTGCTCTCGTATCACATTCACACGTAGCTTCCCTTCCATACACACCCTCTCGGTACAGCTTCACACACATCCCATCTTGTGTTTCACCTTGTTGGTACCACCTGCATTGCTGCTGGACCCCC